CCACCTTGGCTTTCCAAAATGCTGGGATTACAGGCATGAGCCACTGCACCCAGATCCAAAGACGTATTTTTTGCTCACACAAAATCTACTGTGGGACTGGTAGCAATTCACAGTAGCTCCATTCCAAGCAGTGATTCAGGAATCCAAGCTATTAGCACCCTATAGTAGCCATTTGAAACACATGCCTTCCGCATCACCTGGCAGGGGAAGACAGAGATGGAGGATCACATACCAGCTCTTAAATACTTTGTAGCTCACATTGACCAGAACCAGTGATGTGGCCAGAGGGACTGGGAAATGTATGAAGCTCATGGATATCTGGAAAGCAGGAATTGTCCCTGCCACAGCCTCTCCATTTCTCCCATTCTCTCTAAACCAGTTCTGAACAGAATCTCACCTCCATTACTCCACCAACACTGCTCCCATCAAGGTCACCAACGACTGCCAGGATCATCTTACTTCACCCATAAACAATAGATAATTTGGTTATTTCCTCTCTCGAAACATTTTCTCCTCTTTTATGGCACACCACTCCTTTCTTGGCTCTCTTCTGACCTCATGGACTATTCCTTCTGAGTCCTTTTTGCAGTTCTTACTGTAAAGGGGCACAGAATTCAGTCTTTGGACCTCTTCTCTGTCTTCACTCAATCCCTTGGTGATCTCATTTGGTCTCATAGTTTTAAATTCCCTCTACATATTAATAATTTATTTTTTTTTATCTCCAGCCCCAATCTCTTTTCTGACTTAAAGAGGCACACACATTTAACTGTCTACTTAACGTTATCTCAAGGTTATATGCCTCAAACTGAACTCCTTAAAAAAGCCATCTCCCGGCCGGGCGCAGTGGCTCAAGCCTGTAATCCCAGCACTTTGGGAGGCCGAGACGGGCGGATCACGAGGTCGGGAGATCGAGACCATCCTGGCTAACACGGTGAAACCCCATCTCTACTAAAAAAATACAAAAAACTAGCCGGGCGAGGTGGCGGGCGCCTGTAGTCCCAGCTACTCGGGAGGCTGAGGCAGGAGAATGGCGTGAACCCGGGAGGCGGAGCTTGCAGTGAGCTGAGATCCGGCCACTGCACTCCAGCCTGGGCGACAGAGCGAGACTCCGTCTCAAAAAAAAAAAAAAAAAAAAAGCCATCTCCTAGCCAGGCACAGTAGCTCTCGCCTATAATCCCAGCACTTTGGGAGGCTGAGGAGGGTGGATCACAAGGTCAGAAGTTCGAGACCAGCCTGGCCAACCTGGTGAAACCCTGTCTTTTTTTTTTTTTTTTTTTTTTTGAGGTGGAGTCTGGCTCTCTTGCCTAGGCTGGAGTGCAGTGGCCGGATCTCAGCTCACTGCAAGCTCCGCCTCCCGGGTTCACGCCATTCTCCTGCCTCAGCCTCCCGAGTACCTGGGACTACAGGCGCCCGCCACCTCGCCCAGCTAGTTTTTTGTATTTTTTAGTAGAGACGGGGTTTCACTGTGTTAGCCAGGATGGTCTCGATCTCCTGACCTCGTGATCCGCCCGTCTCGGCCTCCCAAAGTGCTGGGATTACAGGCTTGAGCCACCGCGCCCGGCCGTCGAAACCCTGTCTTTACTAAACATATGAAAATTAGCTGGGTGTGGTGGCGCATGCCTGTAATCCCAGCTACTCAGGAAGCTGAGGCAGGAGAATTGCTTGAATCCGGGAGGCGGAGGTTGCAATGAGCCAAGATCACACCACTGCACTCTAGCCGGGGTGGCAGAGCCAGATTCTGTCTCAAAAGAAAAAGGTCATCTCCTTAAAAAGTTGCTCCTGGTTGTGTGTGGTGGCTCACACCTGTAATCCTAGCACTTTGGGAGGCCAAAGCAGGCAGATTACTTGAGCAAAGGAGTTCAAGACCAGCCTAGGCAATATGGCAACCCTGCCTCTACAAAAATACAAAAATTAGCCAGGCGTGGTGGCACGTGTCTGTGGTCCCAGTTACTCAGGAGGCTAAGGTGGGAGGATCACTGGAACCTGGGAGGCAGAGCTTGCTTGCAATAAGCCAAGATCGTGCCACTGCATTCCAGCCTGGGCGATAAGAGTGAGACCCTGTCTTTTTTTTTTTTTTTTTTGAGACAGAATCTGGCTCTGTTGCCCAGGCTGGAGTGCAGTGGCGTGATCTCAGCTCACTGCAAGCTCCGCCTCCCAGGTTCACGCCGTTCTTCTGCCTCAGCCTCCTGAGTAGCTGGGACTACAGGCGCCCGCCACCATGCCTGGCTAAGTTTCTGTATTTTTTAGTAGAGACAGGGTTTCACCATGCTAGCCAAGATGGTCTCAATCTCCTGACCTCGTGATCCGCCTGCCTCGGCCTCCCAAAGTGCTGGGATTACAGGCATGAGCCACCATGCCCAGCCGGTAGAGACCCTGTCTTTAAAAAGAAAAAAAGGCCAGATGCTGTGGATCACGCCTGTAATCCCAGCACTCTGGGAGGCTGAGGTGGGCTGATCACCATATCAGGATATGGAGACCATTCTGGCTAACACGGGGAAACCCATCTCTACTAAAATACAAAAAATTAGCCAGGCGTGGCAGCACTTTTTTTTTTTTTTTTTTTTTTTAAGAGATGGGGTCTTGCTCTGTCACCAAGTCTGGAGTGCAGTGGCTATTCACAGGTGGAATCACCACCCCACCATGCACTACAGCCCCAAATTCCTGGGCTCAAGTGAACTTCCTGCCTCAGCCTTCCGAGTAGCAGGGACTACAGGCACTTACCACTTCTCCCAGAGTTTTCACCATCTCAGTAAAAGACAATTTCATGGCTGGGCATAGTGGCTCATGCCTGTAATCCCAGCACTCTGGGAGGCCAAGGGGGGTGGATCACCTGATGTCAGGAGTTTAAGACCAGCCTGGCCAACTTGGTGAAATCCCATCTCTACTAAAAATACAAAATTAGCCAGGTGTGGTAGTGAATGCCTGTAATCCCAGCTACTTGGGAGGCTGAGGCAGGAGAATCACTTGAACCCATGAGGCAGAGGTTGCAGTGAGCCAAGATCATGCCATTGCACTCCAGCCTGGGCAATAAGAGCAAAGCTCTGTCTCAAAAAAAAAAAAAAAAAAAAAAAAAAAAGAAGGAAAGGAAAGGAAAGGAGAGGAAAAAGGAAAGGAAAGGAAAGGAAAGACAACCGGGCGCAGTGGCTCATGCCTGTAATCCCAGCACTTTGGGAGGCCGAGGTGGGCAGATCATGAGGTCAGGAGATTGAGACCATCCTGGCTAACACAGTGAAACCCTGTCTCTATTAAAAATACAAAAAATTAGCTGGGTATGGTGGCGCATGCCTGTAATTCCAGCTACCCCAGGAGGCTGAAGCAGGAGAATCGCTTAAACACAGGAGGCGGAGGTTGAGATTGTGCCACCACACTCCACCCTGGGTGACAGAGTGAGACTCTGTCAGGAAGGAAGGAAGGAAGGAATGGAGGAAGGGAGGAAGGGAAAGAAGGAAGGAAGGAAGGAAGGAAAAGAAAGGAGGGAAAGGTCGGGCGCGGTGGCTCAAGCCTGTAATCCCAGCACTTTGGGAGGCCAAGATGGGTGGATCACGAGGTCAGGAGATCGAGACCATCCTGGGTAACCTGGTGAAACCCCATCTCTACTAAAAAATACAAAAAAAAAAAAAAAAAAAAAACCTAGCCGGGTGAGGTGGCGGGCGCCTGTAGTCCCAGCTGCTCGGGAGGCTGAGGCAGGAGAATGGCGTAAACCCAGGAGGCGGAGTTTGCAGTGAGCTGAGATCTGGCCATTGCACTCCATCCAGCCTGGGCGACAAAGCGAGACTCCATCTCAAAAAAAAAAAAAAAAAAAGAAAAGAAAAAAAAGAAAGGAGGGAAAGGAAGTAAAGGAAGAAAGGAAGGAAAGGAAAAGGAAGGAAGCAAGGAAGGAAGGAAAGAACGAAAGAGAAAAAGACAAAGACAATCTTTTTTTTTTGAGACAGTCTTGCTCTGTTACCCAGGCTGGAGTGCAAAGGCGCAATCTCAGCTCACTGCAACAGTGTGATCTCAGCTCCACCTCCCAGGTTCAAGTGATTCTCATGCCTCAATCTCCAGAGTAGCTGGGACTACAGGCACATGCCACCACACTGGCTAATTTTTGTATTTTTAGTAGAGACAGGGTTTCACTATGTTGGCCAGGCTGGTCTAAACCCCTGACCTCGTGATCTGCCCGCCTTAGCCTCCCAAAGTGCTGGGATTACAGGTGTGAGCTACTGCACCTGGCCAAGAAAGACAATCTCATCCTTTCAGTTATTTGGTGAAAAACCTTGGAGTCAGCTGGGCACGGTGTCTCACACCTGTAATCCTAGCACTTTGGGAGGCCGAGGCAGGCAGATCACGAGGTCAGGAGATTGAGACCATGCTGGCTAACATGGTGAAACCCCGTCTCTACTAAAAATACAAAAAATTAGCCGGGTGTGGTGGCTCATGCCTGTAGTCCCAACTACTCAGGAGGCTGAGGCAGGAGAATTTCTTGAACTGGAGAGGTGGAGGTTGCAGTGAGCCGAAATCGCACTGTGGCATTCCGGGCTGGGCGACAGAGTGAGACTCTGTCTCATAGAAAAAAAAAAAAAAAAGGAAAACCTTGGAGTCAACCCTTATGCCTCTCTTTTTTCCCCCACACCTCATATACCAAACCATGAGCAAATCCTGTCAGTTCTATTTCAGAATACAGGCACATCGAGCAAAATGTCTCTGGTTAACATTTTCACCATAGAATGCCTTTTCGTTTTTAATATCCAGCTGTGGTTGTCAGCCTTCAAGATGGTCTCTAATGATCCTCAACTCCTGCTATGCATGCCTTTGCATACTCCCTTTCCACACTGAGCAGGGCTGACCTATGCAACCAAAAGGACGCTGTAAATAACAATGTGTGGTTGGGGACAGTGGCTCATGCCTGTAATCCCAGCACTTTGGGAGGCCAAGATGGGCAGATCTCTTGAGATAGGAGTTTGACACCAGCCTGGACAACATGGTGGAAACCCCATCTCTACTAAAAATACAAAAATTACCTAGGTGTCGTGGTGGGCGCCTGTAATCCCAACTGCTCGGGAGGCTGAGGCATGAGAATCACTTGAACCCGGGAGGCAGAGGTTGCAGCGAGCCAAGATCGCACCACTGCACTCCAGCTTGGGTGCCAGAGCAAGACCCTGTCAAAAAAAAAAAAAGAAAAAACAATGTGTGACTTCTGAGGCTAGGTCATAAAAGACATTGTGGCTTCTGCCTTGTTCTCTCGGATCACTCCCTCTAGGGAAAGCCATCAGCCATGTTTTAAGGACATGTAAGCAGCTCTATGGAGAGAACTTCATGGCAAGGAACTGAGACCTCCTGTGAATAGCCAGTACCAACTTGCTAGTCATGAGCGAGTCATCTTGGAAGCAGATCATCTAGGCCCAGTCAAACCTTCAGGTGACTTCAAAGTAATAAGAGACCCTGAGCTTGAGCCATCCAGCTAAGCTGCTCCCAAATTCTTGACCCACAAGAACTGTATGCGATAATAAATACTGTCATTTTAAGCTGCTAAGTTTTGGGATAATTTGTTACACAGCAATAGTTAACTAATATACCAAACTTATATTGATTCAGCTTATGTTTATTTATCTATCAAGAGAGGGTCTCACTCTGCCACCCAGGCCGAAGTGCAATAGTGTGATCACGGTTCACTGTAGCCTCAATCTCCCAGGCCCAAGTGATCCTCCCACCTCAGCCTCCCAAGTAGCTGGGACCACAGGCATGTGCCATCATGCCTGGCTAATGTTTAAATTTTTTGTAGAGACAGGGTCTCCTTATGTTGCCCAAGCTGGTCTCAAACTCCTTGACTCAAGTGATCTGCCTGCCTCAGCCTCCCAAAGTACTGGGATTACAGTGTGAGCCACCACACCTGGCCCAGTGTATGTTTATACAGAAAATATGTATATTTACATCATTAAAATCTTATCTATATTTTTAACAAAGTAATGTGCATTTAAAGCTTCAAATTACATTCCAAATAGAATTGATAGAAAATTACTGAGTGCCAGCCTGGCTGACATAGTGAGACCCTGTCTTTACAAAATAAAAAATTAGCTGGGTGGGGCAGCTCATGCCTGTAGTCCCACCTACTTAAGAGGCTGAAGTGGGAGGATCGCTTGAGTACAGGAGGTCAAAGCTGCAGTGAACCATGATTGTGCCACTGTACTCCAGCCTGGGCAACAGAGCAAGACCCTGTCTCAATCAGTCAATCAATGGAAAATATATTAAGTTAATGATTTCACACAGAATGTCCAATTTTCATGAAACAGATTACTGATGTTAAGTGGGAAATGCCTATATCCAGAATCTGACGACTTATCACCTCCACAACTACCACTGTGGTCAAAGCCACCAGTGTCACTCTAGGAGATTGTTGTAGTAGTCTCCTATCCAGTCTCCCCTCTTCTGCCCTTGTCCCTGCATAATCTGTGCTTCTTACAGCAACGTGATTCTCCTGATACAAAATTCAGGTCATGCAGTTCCTCTGCTCACAACTCTGCAATGGTCCCACCTTACTCAGTAAGAAAGCCAATTTCCTCACAGTGGTGCACAAGGCCCCACTCAACATAACTCCTTCCCCATTACTTATTTGACCTCATCTCCTATCCTTTTTCCCTACTAACTGTGATTCAGTCCAGTCACAGTGACCTCCTGGCTTTCCTTAAGCCTCCTGGGCACTTTCACTTTAGAACTTTGCCTTTGCTGAACTTTCCCCCTGCACCCCACTTGACCTACTCCATTGCCTGGGCTAGTTATCTATGTGACTCAGTCCCTTACTTCCTTCAGGTTGCTATTCAAGCATTACCTTATCAATATCCCTGCTCTTTACCCCTCTTGCCCTGCTTTATTTCTCTGGATTGAAGGTTACCTGCCACAAATTTCAGTGTGGCTTTAAGCCACATGCAGAAGGAGTTCTATTTTTTTTTTTTTTTTTTGAGATAGAATAGTGATGTGATCACAGCTAACTGTAGCCCTGGCCTCTCAGGCTCAAGTGCTCCTTCCACCTCAGCCTCCTGAGTACCTGAGACTACAGGCACGTGCCACCACGCCTGGCTAATTTTTTAATTTTTATTTTTGTAGAGATAGGGTCTCAGTATGTTGTCCAGGCTGTTCTTGAACTCCCGAGCTGAAGATCCTCCCTCCTAGGGCTCCCAAAGTGCTGGGATTACAGGTGTGAGCCACCACATCCAGCCAGCAAACATCTTTGGGAGATTTTTTTTTTTTTGAGATGGAGTCTCTGTCGCCCAGGCTGGAGTGCAGTGGTGTGATCTTGGCTCACTGCAACCTCTGCCTCCTGGGTTCAAGCAATTCTTGTGCCTCAGCCTCCTGAGTAGCTGGGATTATGGGTGTGCACCACCGTGCCCATCTAATATTTGTATTTTTAGTAGAGATGGGGTTTCACCATGTTAGCCAGGCTAGTCTCAAACTCCTGACCTCAGGTGATCCATCGGCCTTGGACTCCCAAAGTGCTGGGATTACAGGCATTAGTCACAGTGCCCAGCCAAACTTGTGTTTTTATCCCTCAGGCAATTAAAAAAGAAAAATGGAAAGGAAAACTGAAAGATCTCTGAAGAATGCCCAGTTCCATCACATCTATCATGTGGCCTCTGGAAATCCCTGCCCGTGGGGAAGACTTATAATTGGTAGTAGTCAGGTGTTCAGGAACAATGGCTTTGAAGTTAGAAGGACCTGGATTAACCTGGCCTGGTATCAGTTTTCTCATTTATAAAATGGGATGGTAGTATTGATTCTTTGGGTTGTGGGAAGATTAAATGAAATAATCCATGTAATTTGATTACATACTCAGCTGCTCCCATTAGCACATCCTGATTATTCTTACTTAGCATTCAGTCCATGTGTGACTGCACTTATGAATCCAGTGGTCTGTGCCATGTAAATCAGGCCTCTGAGATTTTGCTCAGCTTACAATGGCATATGGGCAAATATGCTTCTGACCTTGCAAAGCCAGGTGGGCCCTAGCCTGAAGCGACTCACCTTCAGGCTAGGGCTGTCTATAGACAGTTGGGAGTCAGGTCAAAGAGCTGTCTTATAGATAGCTGGGAGTTCCTCCAGGCTAACTGGTTGTTCACTGGCTCTGGAGTTGCAGGAATAGACAACTGGCTCTCTGCTGCTCCTGGAAGTCTCTCCTAAATTAAACTCCTTAATTAGCCAGGTGTGGTGGCGGGCGCCTATAATCCCAGCTATTCAGGAGGCTCAGGCAGGAGAATCGCTTGAACCCAGGGGGCAGAGGTTGCAGTGAGCTGATATCACGCCATTGCACTCCAGCCTGGGCGAAAGATCAAAACTCTGTCTCAAAAAAAAAAAAAAAAAAAAAAAAAAAAACACAAAAAAACAAAAAACTCCTTGGTCTGCCACATGCCACTGCTCTGTGACCTTGCACTTTTGGTTCAAAGAACCAGACAAGGTATACAATAGCTTACTTATTCTGTCCTCAGGGCCCACTCTCCACTGATCCCTTGTGGGCTTTAGCTGACTAAGCCCAGAGTGGCTGAGTGGTACCCAGCATGGTACGTGCCTGGGGAAGGGTTGGCGGGGGCAGGATCAGCTGGCCAGAGCTAGTGGATACTTCCTTCACAACAGTTCTCCTGCCACCTGAGATCATACAGTATCTCAGCATCTCCTAGGTCAGTCTGGGGTCCAGCCAGAGGCCTGATGAAGCAAACAGCTCTCTGTATACTTACTCTGGACACTCAAACAGGGAGGCTGAGTGAATCACAGCAAAATCCACCCCAACCCCCACTGGAGCCACAACTGAGCAACTGAAGCTCCTGGGAGGCTAGAATTGAAGAAGTTAGGCAAAGGAGGTCTCTTAGAACCAGCCCCAGATGCCCCTTCTTAGGGGACCCTTCTCAGAAGCCCCAGGCCTTGCTTTTCCTAAAAGTGCCCTGCTATGCCTGTGAGCAATGTCACCAAACAAGTTGGCTCAGTCAGCCCTTTTAGTGTGCCTCTCTCACTCAGGCAGCCCTGGAGCCAAGAAGGCCTTCAGGAGCCACTCCCTACTGACTCCCTACCACTCCTGTTCCCTCTTCCTGCTTGGATAGCACTTCATTTCACCTTAACCCTTTGGAGTGGTCTGTCTGGGAAGGAGGTGCCAGGATACAAGATGTGTGGCAGACAAGGCCCAGGTTCGAGACTGTGCTATGGCTGCTTCAGCAGGATGCCTACTCCATGCTGAGATCATAGTCTGGTCCTTGTCACTTCTGGCGGTTACTTCCCTCCCTGACAAAGGGTGCTTACCCTCCCTCTGCAAACTTGTGCCCAGAAAGCGTGGCTCACCTAGTACAAGGGACAACCCAGTTGCACCAGACAAACTGGTGCAAAGTCCAGCTGGGCACAGTGGCTTATGCCTGTAATCCCAGCACTTTGTGAGGCTGAGACAGGCAGATCACCTGAGGTCAGGGGTTCGAGACTAGCCTGGCCAACATGGTGAAACCTCGTCTCTACTAAAAAAATACAAAAATACAGGCCAGGCGCGGTGGCTCAAGCCTGTAATCCCAGCACTTTGGGAGGCCGAGACGGGCGGATCACGAGGTCAGGAGATCGAGACCATCCTGGCTAACACGGTGAAACCCCGTCTCTACTAAAAAGTACAAAAAACTAGCCGGGCGAGGTGGCGAGCGCCTGTAGTCCCAGCTACTCGGGAGGCTGAGCCAGGAGAATGGCGTAAACCCGGGAGGCGGAGCTTGCAGTGAGCAGAGATCCGGCCACCGCACTCCAGCCTGGGTGACAGAGCGAGACTCCGTCTCAAAAAAAAAAAAAAAACAAAAAAAACACAAAAATACAAAAAATTAGCTGGGCGTGGTAGCGCATGCCTGTAATCCCAGCTACTCGGGAGGCTGAGGCAGGAGAGTCGCTTGAACCTGGGAGGCAGAGGTTGCAGAGAGCTGAAATCACACCATTGCACTCCACCCTGGTCAACAAGAGTGAAACTCCGTCTAAAAACAACAACAAAGCAAAGCCCCAAGCCCTTTCCAGGTGCTGCCCCGCTCATCCCAGTCACCTCTGTTGCTTTTTGAGAAGACTCTACCGGCCGAATATGTGTTCGTTTGTTGAGGGGTGGGGGTGGGGGGTGGGGAAGAGTCCTACCTGGCCACTGCCCCCTATCGGACCTCGCCCTCCCAGCCTAAGTATGGGTTCCAGATCTCGCCTTTTGTATTCCCCAGCTGGGGGCCAGCCAGCTGAGGGACCCCAGGGAGACACAGTCTTCCCACTGGAAGCGATAGCGTTGATGGCCGTCTTCAAGCCCCTCCCTCCAAAGATGACAGCTCTCCAGTCTCTAGGTGCCTCCAGGCCACGTGGGCTGGCAGTCAACTCACCTGTTTCTCAGAGGGGCCCAGGACGCACAGAAGGTGCCGGTCACTGCCCTCTGCCAGAGCCCTGGGGGGGTAAGGGTGTCCGGCTGGGCCCGGCCTGAGGGCACAGCTTCGCGGGGCCCCGGCCCCCTGCGTACACAGACATGGCCACAGCGCAGGCACCGCGCCCTCCCACCGCCCTCAGCCGGCCGCCAGTGCAGGAAGACAGCTTTCTCCGGCCTCTCGCAGCCAAGGCCCAGCTCCAGCCGCACAGCCCGACCCGGCCCGCCCCCGGAGTGCATTGTGGGAAATGTAGTCCTTAGCGCCCGGCCGCTTGCCGCGCCGCGGGACTGGCTCTGGGTTCCTCGTCCCAGCGTAGCTGCGGGCAGGTCCCGACCCGCGTCCAGGATTGCCTCACCCGGCGCCGCCTTCTAGGGACCTGGGCGCCTCCTTAGAGCCTAGAGCCCCACACAGACCGCAGACTTGGACTCTGGGCCTCACCCTCCGAGCCAGCTAGCAGTTCATTTCAAGGGAGAGAAAGGGACGTTAGGGTTGTTTCTCCCACTGATTGTGGAAGGACAGTGCAAGTTTGAGGGACTGGATAAATGACATCAGTGGGCCCAGCCACACAGGCTGTAAAGGATGTGGGCATGCGCAAAAGTCGCACTAATTGTTTCTAAAACCGTATTTGTAGCCACGTTTTAATGTATCGGTATAATGCTCTAGAACGGTAGTTCTCAACTCTGACGGCACACAGAATATCCCTGGAAGCTTTAAAAAAACAAAACAAAACAAAACAAAAACTAGGACGGGCGAGGTGGCTCACGCCTGTAATCCTAACACTTGGGAGACCGAGGTGGGCGGATCACTTGAGGTCAGGAGTTCCAGACCAGCCTGGCCAACATGGTGAAACCCCATCTCTACTAAAAATACAAAAACTAGCCATCCTTGATGGCTCGTGCCTATAGTCCCAGCTACTCGGGAGACTGAGGTGGGATCCCAGGAGGTCGAGGCTGCGGTGAGCCGTGATCATGCCCCTGCATTCCAGCCTAAGCACCAGAGCAAGACCCTGTCTCAAAAACAACAACAACAAAAAACTAATGCCTGGACACCAGCCCTAGAGATTTTGATTTAATTGAATTTAGAGTAAGGTGGAGTGTTGGGGAACCAGGCATCACTATTGTTTTAAAAGTACCCCAGGGGATTTGCCATTGCAAAGAATCATTATTTGTAATTTCCTAGATGCAAAGCAATAAAAACAACAGGAAAACAGGCAACAACAGGCTTTCCCAAAAGGCCCTTATTTTTAGAGATGGTTTTAAAAAGCAAAAATTAGGGATTGGCACCACTGCTCATGTTTTGTTCTGAAGTAATTAATTCACTTTACAGCCTTATGGTTTATTCTCCCAACAGTTAATAGGATGAAAGAAAAAGTCAAATCACTCCTCTGACTTTCCCTCCTGCTCCACAAGCACCTGGGGGCAGTGTCCTGTCCCTCTCTGAGCCCTACACTGGAGTTAGGGTAGAGCTCCGTCCTTGGGCTTTTCTTCCAGTCTCACATGGCTGCCACCATAGCCTGCTTCCGCAACACTGACCTGTGACTGACATGGTGAAAAAGCTGTGGCCTTTCACTGAAGATGGCTTTGCGTAAGGCTATCAAGTTCTTGCACATAGTCTAAGGGAACTTTTCTCACCCCCCTGTCCCCCACTTTTAGGTAAGGACATAAGAAAATGCCCTATTCCTTAACTGAGAGTCTCTCCAGGTTTCCACAGGTCACTCAGTATTTTATCTCCTCATTAGCTCAGAAGTCCACGTTCCCTCCCTTAGGGCAAGAATCATTTATACAGTTTTTTTCTCTAATTATTACACTATAAGAGTTTGAGCCATAAGCTGGGCTTGGTGGCACAGGCTTGTAATCCCAATTAATCCAGAGGCTGAAGCAGGAAGAATTGCTTGAGCCCAGGAGATCAAGTCTGAAGTGAGCCATGATCCATGGACAACAAGAATGAGAGAGTCAAGAAAGAAGGAAGGGAGGGAGGAAGGGAGGGAGAGAGAGAGGGAGGGAGGGAGGGAGGAAGAAAGGAAAGAAGGAAGGAGAGTTTAAGTCAAGATATAACATTCTCTGCTTGGTACAGAAATGTTCTGACTATATTCCTTTTCTTTTTCTTTCTTTTTTTTTTCCACTTTAGAGATGGTGGTTTCATTATGCTATGTTGACAAGGCTGGTATCAAACTCTTGGCCTCAAGCAATTCTCCCATCTTGGCCTCCCAAAGTACTGGGATTACAGGGCATAAACCACCATGCCTGGCTAATATCCTGCCTGTATTTCATTAACTTGAAGTTACACCCTATAGAATTAATCTCCATAGAAGACTAATTTAATTTAATTTATTTACTTATTTTTTTCAAACGAAGTCTCTCTCTATCGCCCAGGCTGGAGTGCAGTAGCTCCATCTCAGCTCACTGCAACCTCCGCCTCCCAGGTTCAAGCAGTTCTCTGCCTCAGCCTCCCGAGTGGCTGGGATTACAGGCATCTACCACCACGCCCAGCTAATTTTTGTATTTTTAGTAGAGACAGGGTTTCACCATCTTGGCCAGGCTGGTCTTGAACTTCTGACCTCGTGATCCACCCGCCTCAGCCTCCCAAAGTGCTGGGATTACAGGTATGAGCCACCACACGCGGCCCAGAAGACAAATTTAAAGTTTTCTTTTCTTTTTTTTTTTTTTTTTTTGAGACGGAGTTTTGCTCTGTCGCCCAGGCTGGAGTGCAGTGGTGCGATCTTAGCTCACTGCAACCTCCGCCTCCTGGGTTCAAGCAATTTTCTGCCTCAGCCTCCAGAGTAGCTGGGTGTGCACCACCACGTCTGGCTAATTTTTGTAATTTTTGTATTTTTAGTAGAGATGGTGTTTCCCTATGTTGGTCAGACTGGTCTCGAACTCCTGACCTCGTGATTCACCCTGGGATTACAGGTATGAGCGACCGTGCCTGGCCAGTTTTTTGTTTTGTTTTTTTGAGACAAAGTCTTGCTCTGTCACCCAGTCTGGAGTGCAGTGGTACTATCTCAGCTCACTGCAACCTCCACCTCCCAGGTTCAAGCGATTCTCCTGCCTCAGCCTCCCGAGTAGCTGAGACTACAGGCATGCACCACCACGCCTAGCTAATTTTTTTATTTTTAGTAGAGAAGGGGTTTCACTGTGTTGGCCAGGATGGTCTCGATCTCTCAACCTTGTGATCCACCCACCTCGGCCTCCCAAAGTGCTGGGATTTTAGGTGTGAGCCACTGCACCCAGCCAATTTTTGTATTTTTAGTAGAGACGGGGTTTCACCATGTTGGCCAGGCTGATCTCGAACTCCTGATCTCAAGTGATCCGCCCGCCTCAGCCTCCCAAAGTGCTGGGATTATAGGTGTGCGCCACTGCACCCGGCCTAATTTTTGTATTTTTAGTAGAGATGGGGTTTCACCATGTTGGCCAGGATGGTCTCAATCTCCTGACCTTGTGATCCGCATCCACCCACCTTGGCCTCCCAAAGTGCTGGGATTACAGGCGTGAGCCACTACGCCCGACAAAATTTAAAGTTTTCTACCTAACTAGTTCTTTTTTTTTTTTTTTTTTTTTTTTTTTTTTGAGACGGAGTCTCGCTCTGCCGCCCAGGCTGGAGCGCAGTGGCCAGATCTCAGCTCACTGCAAGCTCCGCCTCCCGGGTTCCCGCCATTCTCCTGCCTCACCCTCCCCAGTAGCTGGGACTACAGGCGCCCGCCACCTCGCCCGGCTAGTTTTTTGTATTTTTTAGTAGAGACGGGGTTTCACCATGTTAGCCAGGATGGTCTCGATCTCTCGACCTCGTGATCCGCCCGTCTCGGCCTCCCAAAGTGCTGGGATTACAGGCTTGAGCCACCGCGCCCGGCCACCTAACTAGTTCTTCACAGTCTCCATGTTGACCTCAGGATTTCTTCCAGAATCTTACTATTCCTGTTAAGCACATCAGTTCCACGAGATAGTACCACTATCATCTGGAAGTATTACATCTACTTAGCTAAGCAAGTGGCCATATATCTCATATATTTCTTGCTAAGACTTGTGCCTAAGACATTCTCATAGACCAAATCAAGGTGGCTACTTACTAAAACATCTTAGGTTATTACTTAAAACTTTGTTTTAATCAACTTTTTTTTTTTTTTTTTTTTTTGAGATGGAGTTTTGCTCTTGTTGCCCAGGCTGGAGTGCAATGGTGCGATCTCAGCTCACCACAACCGCCACCTCCCGGGTTCAAGCGACTTTCCTGCCTCAGCCTCCCGGCTGGGATTACAGGCATGCACCACCACGCCTGGCTATTTTTGTATTTTTAGTAGAGATGGGGTTTCTCCATGTTGGTCAGGCTTGTCTCGAACTCCCGACCTCAGGCAATCCACCCGCCTTGGCCTCCCAAAGTGCTGGGATTACAGGCGTTAGCCACCATGCCCAGCCTTCTTTGTTTTTTGAGTCAGGGTCTTACTCTGTCACCTAGGCTGCAGTACAGTGGCTCACTGCAGCCTTGACCTCCTGGGCTTAAGTGATCCTCCTACTTTAGCCTCCTGAGTGGCTGGGACCACGGTTGTGTGCCACCACATTGGGCAAGTTTTAAATTTTTTGTAGAAATGGCATCTCCTTATGTTTCCCAGGCTGGTCTGGAACTCCTGGGCTCAAGCAATCCTCCTACCTTGGCCTCCCAAAGTGTTGGGATTACAGGTGTGAGCCACTGTGCCTGGATTTTTGTTTTTATATAGAGACAGTCTCAATATGTTGCCCAGGCTGGCCAGGAACTACTGGGCACAAGCCATCCTCCCACATCAGTCTCCTGAGTAATTAAGACGACACACCCAGCAAGGATACACTTTAGCTACAACCTTGTAGCACCTCAGGTTCTAACATCTTCACTAAAGCTAGAAAAGAGAGGAAATATGGGGAAGAACACATCTAATTGTTACATTTCTTCAGCCTTCACTTTTCAGCTATGGCAAGTTACTTAACCTTTCTGGGCTCGGGTTTCCTTAACTACAAAAGGGGAGGCTGGGCCCGGTGGCTCATGCCTGTAGTCTCAGCACTTTGGGAAGCTGAGGCAGGTGGATCACCTGAGGTCAGGAGTTCGGGACTAGCCTGGCCAAGATGCTGAAACACTGTCTCTACTAAAACTACCAAAAAAATTAGCTGGGCGTGGTGGTGTGAGCCTGTAATCTCAGCTACTAGGGAGGCTGAGGCAGGAAAATTGCTTGAACCCTGAAGGCGGAGGCAGAGGTTGCGGTGAGCTGAGATCTTTCAGCCTGGGTGAAAGAGCAAGCAAGACTCTATCTCAAAACAAACAAACAAACAAACACAAAAAACGGTGGCTCATACCTGTAATCCAGCACTTTGGGAGGCTGAGGCGGGTGGGTCATAAGGTCAAGAGATCGAGACAATCCTGGCCAACATGGTGATACCCTGTCTCTACTAAAAATACAAAAATTAGCTGGGTGTGGTGGCACATGCCTGTTGTCCCAGCTACTGAGGAGGCTCAGGTGGGAGAATTGATTGAACCGGGGAGGCGGAGGTTGTAGTGAGCCAAGATCGTGCCACTGTACTGCAGCCTGGCGACAGAGTGACACTCCGTCTCAAAAAAAAAAGGGGGAAAATGTCATGCAGTTATTACAAGGATTAAATGAAATAATAGATGAAGTGCCAGCACCATGCCAGGCACATGGTGTGATAAAGTGTAGCAATTATTATTACCCCAGGAGATTAGGCTTAAACCAATAATAATTAGTTCCTTAATATGGTATACCTCTTAAGAGGATAAAGTATTATCTGATAAGTGAAAGACCCATCAATAAAGGCCTAGTTTGAGAAGCAAAGTCAAAATACCCGTAATTCTTTTTTTTTTTGAAACACAGTCTCTGTTGCACAGGCTAGGGTGCAGTGGCGTGATCTCGGCTCACTGCAACCTCCACCTCCCAGGTTCAAGCGATTTTCCTGCCTCAGCCTCCTGAGTAGCTGGATTACAGTGTCCACCACCATGCCCAGCTAATTTTTGCATTTTTATTAGAGATGAGGTTTCGCCATATTGGCTAGATTGGTCTCGAACTCCTGAACTCAGGTGATCCACCCACCTTGGCCTCCCAAAGTGCTGGGATTACAGTCATGAGCCACCTCACCTAGCCAAAATACCCACAGTTCTGTTCCTCCTCTTCCCTGAAAACTGTTAGCACTGGTGTGGCCTTAGTGCTCAAGGCTTAAACTTTGCTTTCCCATCTCTGCTTACTCCTTTACTCCCTTGGTTATCTCATCCATGCCTGTAGCTTTAGACATTAGCAATATGTTGATACCTCCCAGATTTGCATCTCTAGTACTGATCTTTATCCTGAACTCCAGACTGATGGAACCGACTTCCAGCTCCACATCTCACTTGTCTACTGGTTATCAGAAAACTCAACCTACCCAAAACTGAGCCCCTGCTCTTCCTACCAAAACTGTTCCTCCCATATCTTTCCCTTTCTTCCTTCATTCCAGTCCAACAGGTCTGTCTCCTGTTTCTGCTGTGGTCACACTGCTGCAAGTACCATCCTTCTGTGGTTGGATTTTTTCTTTCCTTGAGATGGGGTGTTGCTCTGTTGCTCAGGCTGAAGTACAGTGGCATGATTGTGGCTCCTCCCAAGTCTTTTTTTTTTTTTTTTTGACGCGGAGTCTTGCTCTGTGCCCCAGGCTGGAGTGCAGTGGCGCGATCTCGGCTCACTGCAAGCTCCGCTCCCCCGGGTTCACGCCATTCTCCTGCCTCAGCCTCCTGAGTAGCTGGGACTACAGGCGCCCGCCACCTTGCCCGGCTAATTTTCTTGTATTTTTAGTAGAGACGGGGTTTCACTGTGTTAGCCAGGATGGTCTCGATCTCCTGACCTCATGATCCGCCCGTCTCGGCCTCCCAAAGTGCTGGGATTACAGGCTCGAGCCACCGCGCCCGGCCACCTCCCAAGTCTTGTAGGCTGCTGAATTTGGTTTCTGTAAGAAGGGAGATGGAAAGTTGTCAGAGGGCTCCGAACAGAGAAATATCATAACCTGACTTCCACGTTAACAGGATTCCTCTGGTTGCTGTGTGGAAAACAGACTGAAGGTGGGAAAGGGGAGAAGCAGAACTGCTAGTTGGGAGGCTGCTGCAATAATCCAACCACATTGTTTGAACCTAGGAGTTCAAGGCTGTAGTGAGCTATGATTGTGCCACTGTACTGCAACCTCCACACCTTCCTGAACCTCACATTTCTCCCAAAACAATTCTGTTTCAGACTCCTTACTGATCCTTAAAAATCCTAGTCATGCTCACACCTCAGGGCCTTTGGCCTTGCTGTTCTTTCTGTCCAGAACATTCTTTCCCCAGGTATCCCAATAACTTTGTTCCTCATCTTCTTTGGGTCTTTATTCCAAGAGCTCAGTGAGGTCTTCCCTCACAGCTCTAAAGTTACAACTCCCCCCGCCCCGAACTCCTCACTCTCCTTCCCTCCCTTATTTTTTTCCATAGCATTACCACCACCAGAGAGATTGTGTATCTTTTTTTTTTTTTTTTTTTTTTGAGATGGAGTCTCTGTCACCAGGCTGGAGTGCAATGGCACGATCTGAGCTCACTGCAACCTCTGCCTCCAGGGTTCAAGCAATTCTCCTGCCTCAGCCTCCCAAGGAGCTGGAACTACAGGCACACGCCACCAAGCCCAGCTAATTTTTGTATTTTTAGTAGAGATGGGGTTTCACCATATTGGCCAGAATGATCTCGATCTCTCGACCTCGTGATCTGCCCGCCTCAGCCTCCCAAAGTCTGGGATTACAGGCGTGAGCCACCACGCGCAGCCTTCCAGACAGTCTTGCTCAATCGCCCAGAGCTGGAGTGCAATGGCGTGATCTTGGCTCACTACAACCTCTGCCTCCCGGGTTCAAGTGATTCTCCCGCCTCAGCCTCCCTAGTAGCTGCAATTATAGGTGCAGGCCACCATGCCTGGCTAATTTTTGTATTTTTACTAGAGACGGGGTTTCACCATGTTGGCCAAGTTGGTCTTGTACTTGTAACCTCATGATCCACCCACTTTGGCCTCCCAAAGTGCTGGGATTACAGGCGTGAGCCTCCCTTCCCGGCCTAAGTCTGCTTTATTTTTGAATGCTTAATGGGCTTTTCTTGCAGCAGACTTTTTTGATCCCATAATGTTGAATTTAGGCTATAAAATCAGGTTACCTTCCCTAAGGGTCCACTGACAGGAACACCAGATGGCCAAGACTAGCAAGTCTTTCAACAATGTAGACAATACACCTAAGAACTTGAAGCTGGCAGTTGGAAGAACATTAGCTTGAAGATGCTGGAAATGATCTGCAAACCGAGTTGTGTTGCCCCGTTTTCTGCTAGATTGCTGACTTGCAGCTTCCTTCCAGTTCCTCTGTGACCTTGCACAAATCAGTCTTGGCCAGATTTATTGCCCAAGAGCTAGCAAGACCTGTGGAAGCCGAGTGACTTTTCCTTTATGGGTCAAACCTTTAACACAGATGAAACTTTTTTTTTTTGGCTTTTTTTGAGACAGAGTCTTGCTCTGTGCCCCAAGCCGGAGTGCACTGGTGCAATCTCACCTCACTGCAAACTCCACCTCCCGGGTTCAAGGGATTCTCCTGCCCCAGCCACCCGACCAGTTGGGATTACAGGCGCCTGCCACCATGCCCAGCTAATTTTTGTATTTTTAGTAGAGATGAGGTTTCACCATGGTGGTCAGGCTGGTCTTGAACTCCTGACCTCAGGTGATCCGCCCATCTTGGCCTCCCAAAATGCTGGGATTACAGGTGCCCGCCACCACGCCCGACTAATTTTTTTTTTTTTGTATTTTTAGTAGAGACGGGGTTTCACCATGTTAGCCAGGATGGTCTCTATCTCCTCACCTCGTGATCCACCCACCTCGGCCTCCCAAAGTGCTAGGATTACAGGCGTGAGCCACCGCGCCCAGCCTAAGTTTTGTATTATTAGTTGAGACGGGATTTCACTATCTTGGCCAGGCTGGTCTTGAACTCCCGACCTCGCGATTCACCCACCTCGGCCTTCCAAAGTGCTAGGATTACAAGCGTGAGCCACTGAGCCCGGTATCTTTCTTTTCCTTCTTTTTTTCTGAGACGTAGTCTTGCTCTATTGCCCAGGCTGGAGTCAGTAGCACAGTCTCGGCTCACTGCCTTCCGGGTTTAAGTGATTCTCTTGCCTCAGCCTCCCAAGTAGCTGGGATTACAGGCACGCGCCACCACGCCCGGGTAATTTTCGTATTTTTAGTAGAGATGGGGTTTCACCATGTTGGCCAGGCTGGTCTAGAACTCCTGACCTCGGGTGATCCACCCGCCGAGGCCTACCAAAGTGCTGGGATTACAGGCGTGAGCCACCGCGCCCCTCCAATCAGTTGGAGATGGCTTAAACTTAGTTCCGAAGAAGCTCCCTTCCATTTCTCTCACACTAACGGACAATAAGGAGGCCTCGAGGTAGGCAGGCCAGGGCCGTACCCAAGCTGCTGGCAGGGTGCAAACCTCAGGAAAGTTAAGCCACCAAAAAACTGAGAGGAAAGTACAAGAAGACCGACCAGGTGTCACAGAGCAGAGAGGCCCAACCGCAACCCCTAGCACGTCCCGCGGAGGAGGGCGGGCAAGCGCGCCTTCTTATTGGATGGCGATGGGCAGCGTGCTCGTACGCCCCACCCCAGAAGGCAAGCCCCCTGCGCGCGGGGCACGGCGGGAGTAAGAGTCTGCGGGACCTGCAGCTGTACTTCATCTCCCGGCGGGCCGAGCGCTGAAGGCAGCGGCGCGGCGCCTTTGTGGTAGCGGTGGCCCCGCGCGGAGGAAGTTCCGGTCTCCGCGGCTCTGGTTCGGTGGCGGAGGCTGAGGAGAAGGAGGAGCGGGCAGTGGAGGCTTCGCCGCCTTGGTAGGGGCCCGGGACTGGAGAGAGGGCGTGCCAGAACCTGCGGGGGAAGAGCCTGCAGACGGGCCCACTCTAGACGTTGCAGGCCTGCGCGGCCTGAAAGCTGTGGTTTCGGTGTCTCGGGGCAGCTGCGGCCTCGCTCGGGAAGAAGACCAAGCTACGGTGAGGTGAGGGAGGCGCCGCCCGTGGCGGGCCCGGGGCGGGGCCCGGCGCGGCGGTAGATTACCGGTCCCGCCGCGGAGCGGCCAGCTGTGAGGCTGGGGCCGGCGCGTGGTTGCGGCTCTGTGCTCGTAGACTTCGGAGCTGTAAGCGGGCTCTTCTTGCGGTTTTCCTGTTTCAGATCCAATTCTGAGGCATCACTAGGAAGGGAGTTCTTGTGCTTAGCGCGTAGTCTCGTCCTCAGACTTGGACAGACACAAGGGAGGCTCCGCCGCATCGGAGGGCACAAGAGCTCCGAGCCCGGTCGGCGGCGCGGTAGAACCTGGAGGCGGGGGAGTGGTCTGGTGGATTCTGCGCCCGTTAGGCAATGAAGGAGAAGGATGTCTTCTCGTATTCACTCTTTAGATTCCATTAGCGGTGTAAATAGGTGTTTTTCTCTTTAGTTTAGAATTGACGTTAGACTAATGGGTTCAACTTTGGGAATGCTTTTTTTTTTTTTTTTTTTTTTTTTTTAAAGGAAGGGCTCTGTTTTGTAGGGTACATAAACCGTGAGCATAATTGTATTTTTTGCATATTCCAGGTTTGCCTGTGAAGGTCAGAGTAGCTGGATTTAAGTGAAGGAGTTCAGTAGACATGCAGGTGGTCACCTGGTTCATTTTCTGAACCCTGGATTGTGCCCTTGGCTTGCTAGTTTCCACCTTCCTATTGAGAAATGCCACCGGTGTGAATGATTTAAGTATGTCACCATTACTGAATTTGTGAGGTCTGTAAGGAGGAGTATCGAGAACTGGTGCGTGATGGTAGGACTGGCAGTGAAGAAAGTAACTAAATAATATGTTACCATTTTGGTGAAACACGAAAGTTGAATTTGAACCTTGTCTCAGAAGCTAGCACCTAACTAGTTACCTAACCTGCAGGACAGGTCCCAGGTCTCTCTTGATAGTTGTAGCACCTTTCCTTATAGAATTCTATTACCAGGCTGAGCCTGGTGGCTCACGCCTGTAATCCCAGCACTCTGGGAGGCTGAGGTGGGAGGATTGCTTGAGCTCAGGAGTTGGAGACCTGCGTGGGCACATAGCGAGACGCCGACTCTACAAAACATAAAATAGCCAGGGCCGGGCACGGTGGCTCACACCTGTAATCCCAGCACTTTGAGAGGCTGAGGCCGGCGGATCACCTGAGGTAGGGAGTTTGAGACCAGCCTGACTAACATGGAGTAACCCCGTCCCTACCAAAAATACAGAATTAGCTGGCATGGTGGTGCATGCTTGTAATCCCAGCCACTCGGGAGGCTGAGGCAGGAGAATCACTTGAACCCGGGAGGCGGAGGTTGTGGTGAGCTGAGATTGCTCCATTGCACTCCAACCTGGGCCACAAGAGCAAAACTCCGTCTCAAAAAAACAAAACAAAACAAAAAAAACCAAAACACAAAACTCAACAAAAACCAACATAGTAGAGGCAGCATTTTGCCTTATGCCCAGCTAATTTTTTGTATTTTTTTTAGTAGAGGTGGAGTTTCGCCATGTTGGCCAGGCTGGTCTTTAGCTACTGACCTCAGGTGATCCACCTACCTCGACCGTGAGCCTGGGCAACATGGCGAAACCCTGTCTCTACCAAAAAAAACAAAAAAATTAGCCAGGCAAGATGGCATGCTCCTGTTAGCCCTAACTACTCAGGAGGCTGAGATGGGAAAATGGCTAGAGCTGGGGAGGTAGAGGTTGTAGTAAGGGTAGATCATGCCACTGCACTCCAACCTGGGCCATAGAGCAAGACTCTGTCTCAAAAAAAAAAATAAATAAATAAAATAAATAAATAAAACAAATTGTGGTAAATACATATTTTTATGTATGTTTATGTATATTTTAACAAAATTTGCCCTTTAAACCATTGTTAAGTATACAATTCAATGGTATTAATTACATTCACAATGTAGTACAAGCAACACCACTATTTCTGAAACTTTATTATCTCAAACAGAAACTTTGTAACCAGAGATGGCATGGTGGCTCACGCCTGTAAACCTAGCACTTCGGGAGGCCAAGGCGGGCAGATCACTTGAGGTCAGGAGTTCAAGAACAGCCTGGCCAACGTGGTGAAACCCCATCTCTACTAAAAATACAAAAATTAGCCATGCATGGTGGCATGTACCTGTAACCCCACCTACTAGAGAGGCAGAGGTTGCAGTGAGCTGAGATCATGCCATTGCACTCCAGCCTGGGCTACAGAGCCAGACTCCCATCTCAAAAAAAAAGAAAAAAAGAAACTGTAACCATTAAACAAGTTAACTTCCCATTTCCTCTTGTTTCTAATCTCTAATCTACTTTTTGTCTCTCTGAGTGTGCTTGTTCTAGCTACTGCAAATACTAAATGGAATCATACAGTATTGTTCTTTTTTGTGTCTGGTTTATTTCACTTAGTGTAATGGTTTCAAGGTTGATCCATGTTGGAGCGTGTATCAGAATTTCATTCCTTTTTATGGCTTAATCTGTTGTGTGTATACACCACATTTTGTTTATTAATTCATTTGTAGTAGACACTTGGGTTGTTTCTACCTTTTGACTATTGTAAATAATGCTGCTGTGATCATTGGTGTACAAATATCTCTTTGGGTCCCTGCTTTGAATTCTTTTGGGTATATACCCAGAAGGGAAATTGCTATATGGTAATTATTATTATTAATTATTTTATTTTATTTTTTTTTTTGAGACAGGGTCTTGCTCTGTTGCCCAGGCTGGAGTTCAGTGGCACAGTCATGGCTCACTGCAGCCTCGAACTCTTGGGCTCAAGCAGTCATCCCGCCTCAGCTTCCTGAGTAGCTGGGACTGCAGGCATGGGCTGCCACAACCAGCTAATTTTTTTGTTTGTTTAATTTTTATTTTTTGTGATGAAGTCTTGCCTTGTTGTCTAGGCTGGTCTCGAACTCCTGAATTCAAGTGATCCTCCTGCCTTGGCCTCCCAAAGTGCTGGGATTACAGGCATGAGCCACCACATCTGGCCCATAATTTTTTTTATTTTTATTTTTTTGTAGAGGCAGGGTCTCCCTATGTTGTTCATGCTGGTCTCGAACTCCTGGCCTCAAGCCGTTTTCCCTTCTTGGCCTCTCAAGGTACTGGGATTACAGGCATGAGCCACTGTACCCAGTTGATACTTGGTTATTACATGTTTAGCTTTTTGAGGAACCACCATACTGTTTTCCTCAATGACTGCATCATTTTACATTCTCACCAGTAATACGCAAGGGTTCCAATTTTCCCACATCCTCCCAAACACTTATTTTCTGTTTTTCCTCTTTTGGTAAATTTGTGTGTGTGTATGTGGTTTTTTATTTGTTTGTTTTTATAATAGCCATCCTAATGGGTGTGAAGTGGTATCTCATTTGTGTTTTCTTGGTTTTTGCTTGCTTGTACCTTTTTAACCATTTTTAAGTGTACCATTTAGTAGTAGTAAGTACATTCTTCTTCTTGTGCAGCCATCATAAAAATGCAGCTTCAGAACTTTTTTCATCTTCACAAACTGAGTTCCTGTACCCATTGAACAGTAAATCCCTATTCTCTCCTCCACTACCCCCTGACAATCACCATTCTGCTTTCTGTCTCTATGAATTTGACTACTCTAGGTGTCTCATGTAAGTGGAATCATATAATATTCGTTCTTTTGTGTATGGCTTATTTTACTTAGCATAATATCTTCAGGATTCATCCATCTTGTAGTATGTATCAGAATTTTTTTCCTTTTTAAGGCTGAGTAATATTCCATTGTATGTATATACCACATTTTGTTTATCCATTCATCTGTTGATGGACATTTGGGTTGTTTCTACCTTTTTGCTATTGTGAATATAATGGTGCTATGAATATTGGTGTACAGGCCGGGCGCGGTGGCTCAAGCCTGTAATCCCAGCACTTTGGGAGGCTGAGATGGGCGGATCACGAGGTCAGGAGATCGAGACCATCCTGGCTAACACGGTGAAACCCCGTCTCTACTAAAAAATACAAAAAACTGACTGAGCGCGGTGGCGGGCACCTGTAGTCCCAGCTACTCGGGAGGCTGAGACAGGAGAATGGCGTAAACCTGGGAGGCGGAGCTTGCAGTGAGCTGAGATCCGGCCACTGCACTCCAGCCTGGGCGACAGAGTAACACTCTGTCTCCAAAAAAAAAAAGAATATTGGTGTACAAATATCTTTTTTTTTTTTGAGACTAAGTGTTGTTCATGTCGTCTGGGCTGGAGTGCAGTGGCGCGATCTCGACTCACTGCAACTTCTGCCTCCTGGGTTCAGGTGATTCTCCTGCCTCAGCCTCCTGAGTAGCTGGGATTACAGATGTGTGCCACCATGCCTAGCTAATTTTTGTATTTTTAGTAGAGAAGGAGTTTCGCATGTTGGCCAGGCTGGTATTGAACTTCTGACCTCAGGTGATCCACCTGCCTCAGCCTCCCAAAGTGGTGGGATTACAGGTGTGAGCCACCGAGCCCAGCCACAAATATCAAGTCTTGACTTTCATTTCTTTTGGGAGTATATATACTCAGAAATGGAATTGACAGTTGACAGGTCAAATGGTAATTCTATGTGTAATTTTTTTTTTTTTTTTTTAAGACAGCATCTTTCTTTGTTGTCCAGGCTGGAGTGCAGTGGTGCAGTCACAGCTGTCTGCAGCCCTGACCTTCTCGGTTCAAGCTATCCTCTCACCTCACCCTCTTGAGTAACTGAGACTACAGGTGCACGCCACAACGGTTAGCTAATTATTTTATTTTATTTTTGTAGCTGTGGGATTTTGCTGGGTTGCCCAGGCTTTATGTATCATTTTTTGAGGAACTGCCTTACTGTTTTCCACACTGGTTGCACCAT